TCTTTCCTTGACATCTTACTGTCCCCCCACCGAAGCCGCTCAGCTCAATTAATTGCCCCAACAGATAGTGACCCTGTGAAACCTAAGCTCGGGATACTGGTGGACTGTCTCTGAGCCATGGGGCACTGTTCCATCCCACAAGGGACACTGTACCAAAAGGCTTGGGCTGCTGTACAAATCCGGAAAACAGCTGGCATTTCTCCATTCCCAAACAAAAACCTTTGTGAGCGTCTCAACCCAACACCACCCTTGGCTCTTCTCGCTGATCCCAGGGGAGCTAGTTGGAGCACACAAGGACAAGAGGGGGTGAGCAGACAGTACCTGGATCTGGTCACCCAGCCACTGGAATGTTTGGATGCCAGGGGTTGTTCGGAGGATGAAGAGTCCAAGTAAAAACTCCAGGCCAAGGCCCCAGACAACAGCTCTCCAGGACACCTGGGACCAAGAGCAGAACGGGAACTGAGATGTTAGCAGAGCCTAAAGACTTTCTTCTCCAGCCTCCTGCCTCTGTCAACAATTGCACATGGCAGACATCATCACACTGTGCCCTGAGTGATGGTCACGGGAATGCTACTAAAAAAAGTGTCATAGAAACCCACAAGCTGGTGATACAGGAAGGAGAAAATGAGTTGGTGGGACTCAGGAAATGGCTGATGGAACATAACCTGCCAGACCTACCCAGGAGGAGAAGAGCACGGAGAACTTCTGGCGGTTTGACTAGTATTACATATTCCCTAGAGCAAACTTGCTCTTCATTAACCCTTTGCAGGAAGGGGGTGGAGGGATTGCCCAAAACATTTAAGCAGGTTGAGTTGGAAGTTAATGGGACTTCACTTCAACTGCTTCTGCCCAAGCCACTCAGAGTGCTCCTCCACCTGCCTGAAGCTCATGACAGGGTGTGGTGCTGGGTCTGTCCTGGGATGAAGGATGTGCTGCAAAACAGGATGGAGGTACAAAGAGGGAGCCCCAAGATAAGCCGTGAGAAGGAAAGCAGAGCGATGGCTTTGGGACTCCAGCCAGTCAGCCTGGTCTCTGGTGCCCAGGCTGTGCCAGCTCCTAGCTCTGCCCAGGAGCCCTGCTGGCTCCCGTGCTTCCTTTGAGGAGCCCATGGGCTCCTTCTCCCTTGCCCCAGCGATGGGTGATCAGGGGATGCCAGAAGACAGGAAGCACTTATTCCCTACTTCCTCCTCAGCTTTCAGTGCCGGTGGTTACATCCAGCAAGGGGAGCAACAGCTAAGCCACATCTGAAATGCTTACTGCGCCGTGGTGCTTTGAGCAGGCAAACAGGAACAGAACCAAAAAGCAGAGACCAGCAAATGAGACGAGCTGCTCTGGATTTCTGGAGGTGTCCAAAACCAGCCAGGTGGTCAGACCACCCAGGAGGACCACACAGAGCATCCTGTAAAGGAAATCCCAGACTGTGTCACAGAGAGGATGTCCCCATGGGGAACAGACAAAGGACAAGCTCAGGAGCTAATTGTCCAGGAGATGCCACCATACAGATCACACATCTAATGAAACCTGAGCTTAGACATAAATAAGGGGTGTGAATTGCCATCACACTTGCTCTTTGGCTGAACTTCCCGTAATGGAGATCATTACTGAGGTAGAGGGGTGGCAGTAAGCCATTTTTGCCACAGCTTTTAGAGCCATGCCTCATCAATCACAAGGTGCCTGCACAGCACAAGGCAAGTGCCCAACACCAATGGCTGTTGGTCATGCTAGCCCAGCTCTGGCTGGGAAGTCATGTGAGTGCGGATCCAGGCCCTGGGAGGGATGTGGCCCTGTCTCTTCCTGACTCACCATTTCAGCCACGGCCAGGACTTTTGGAAGCATTTCCGACAGGGCCTGAGGAGCTGCAATATCTTTGCCCCACAGTGCTTCTGGAAGAGACTCCAGCACATGAAGAAGACAACCAGAGCAGTCATAACAACCAAGGCAAGGGCTCGCTGGAAGTTGAGCCAACAGGCTGCAGCGAAGTAGCACAGGTAGGCTGGAGAAGGTACGCTGGGAATCAGCAATGGCAGGACTATGGGATCATGGGATCATCATACTAACTGGGCCCAACGTTGAGGTCTGTTTCTCTCCAGACCTCCTTCCCTGGCCTCCCTTAGGGCTCCCATTTGTGTTTGGGGAGGCTTTAGGGAGCACCAGCCCAGCAGCCTGGCTCTGGGGCTCATTGGTGGTGGCATCTCAGCTGTCTGGGGGCACATGGAGCAAGTAGAAGAGGAAAAGCAAACCCTCGGGGTAGGAGGAGAAAGAAGAAGAGGATAGTAGGGTGCTGCTAGCCCTCATAGGACAGGAGTGATGGGGTGAGAAAGACGTAGACAACGAGGCTGGTGAGAACAGATACAACCTCCAGGCAGATGATGGTGTCCAGCTTTTGGAGTATGGGAGCATGGCCAGTCAAGGGTTATGGAAATGGGGCCTCAGTGCTGAGGAGACCTCACCTATACAAAGGAGCCCCAAGACGACCTTCTGCATTGCCTTGGCATGAGCCTTACAGAAACGCTTTGCCTTGGATGCCGGGTGCAGGGCCTTCCTGGGGAGATTCACACAGCAGAGATGTGAGAGGCCCAGAAGATGGATCTGGGCTCCATGACCAAAACTACCAGAGCCATATCATGATCTTGTCTCCTAGACAGCATTTGCAGCAGCAATATGGCAGTGTAGGTATGCCTCGGCCTCTAGCAGCTATACTACCTCAGAGGAGAGAGGAGAGGAAAAGACTGGCCAGTTATGGCAGGGGAGACCTCCCTGTACGCCCCAGGGCCCAGGGCACATCGAGCAGATGCTTGCTCCAGGTGGCTATGCTGCTATGGGGACAGAGACCTCACCACTGCTGCCTTACAAAACCATATGTAGCTGTCAGGTAATGTATACCCTACCTTGTCTATACAGCATGACCCTACACTGCTCCCAAATCAGGTACTTGCAAGCCAGGTTTGATGGTACAAGAGCTTGCTATGACCCCTGAAAATATTGTACATGCAAAGTGCTGCATGCATCTCCAGGGGAAATTTTACCTCCAGTAAGAGGAGAATCTGCCTTTCCCTTCTCTTCCCCTCTCCTCCTTGCTCTCACCACATGGATCATCAGATTCCTTATGGAGCCTCTCTTCCCCCTGAAAAACACCATTAGCCGGAGTACCCTAAGCAGCTTCCTGCACACAGACAAGAGAGGAAGGGAAGCCTTACCTGGGAGCTGAAAGCTGGGTTATCTGAGCCCCTCTCAAGGTTGACCAGGGTTATCTGGTTATCTTCCATCTTTAGGTGTGCTGCAGCTTCAATGCGTTAGAGAGATGGTACTGCGAAGGGTCAACACACTGGCTGGGAGAGAAAGCTGGGATCAGCTCTAGAAGAGAGGAATGTCTGACCCTGACTTTTGAGTTTGGGACTCCGAGAGGATGATCCCTTTGGTAGCAGAGATTCAGAGTGGTTCTTGCACCAGCGAATCGAAGGACTATCTTCTGGGGTCCTCAAGTCATGGGGCCAGTGTGCTGGCTTTCTTGCTCTCCTCTGACTCCGGGAAGGTGTTTGCTCTTCCTTGCTTCCAAGGGCTTACAGATGAGCATTAAACTTAGGGGAATAAATATGATACAATGCGGAGAGCCAGCAACACTCCTTCAAGTGAACAACAGTGACCACATGCCTCAGTGAGGGTCCCCTTGCTAAAGTCCTGTGGGATTTTGCAAAAAATAAATGTGACCATATCCCTCATTGAAGCTCTTAATATAACTAAGTGACTGTAGGATAAGAAAGATGGTCCTTTCGCATTGAATGAGGGTAAGAATAAATGGTGGTTTTCATGAGGAGTGATCAAAATGGGAGGGTCATACTAGGAAGGATGAGATAGCAAAGCTAAAAACCAGTATTTTGCCACTGCAGAAATCCTTGCAAGAATCCTGTTTGGACACCTTCTGGGTTCGTCTACCTGAAAAATGACAAGTGAAGAGCAGAAAAGACACAGAGAAGGTAGCAAGCGACCTGCAGAAGTACTTCTGTATGAGGAGGGAGGCAAAAGAAGAGGAGTCCTTGTTTTGGAAGAGAGATGACTGAAGGGAGTTGTAGAGTTTACAATTTAAGGATGGCATAGAGAAGGTGAAGAAAGCAAGATTATCCATAGTTTCTCACGATGCAAGAATTAGGGTCCATTGAAGGGAATGATCCAGCCCCAAATGAAACGAGTGGAAGCAAGGAGCTTTTGGGGAGTGTGTGATTTAATTGATTGCCACTGGATGTCAAGGAGGCCAAAAGCAGTGATGCGCTCAACAAGCGAATAGGTCCACAGACGAAAAGGCTCTATCGCAAGCCACTGAAGGGGAAGCACGCTGACACCTGGGGTGCGCTCCAAGGTCCTTCTCTGTGCCTGAGGCCTCCCTTGCGTCTTGGCAGGAACAGGCTCCCTCGGTGCCGATGCAGGGCCCCACCCCTCCTCCATGGCCCCAGGGTCCTTCCCTGGCCCACCCTGGGGCTCAGGGACCCCTCAGGACCTCCCCTCAGGGACCCCAGGCTCAGAGAGCTCCCCCGGCCACCCAAGGGCTCAGGGACCCTCC